GTCCTGAAACATATCTGCTCCTAATCGTCCTCTGACCGACACGTCCTGAAACATATCTGCTCCTAATCGTCCTCTGACCGACACGTCCTGAAACATATCTGCTCCTAATCGTCCTCTGACCGACACGTCCTGAAGCATATCTGCTCCTAATCGTCCTCTGACCGACACGTCCTGAACATATCTGCTCCTAATCGTCCTCTGACCGACACGTCCTGAAGCATATCTGCTCCTAATCGTCCTCTGACCGACACGTCCTGAAACATATCTGCTCCTAATCGTCCTCTGACCGACACGTCCTGAAACATATCTGCTCCTAATCGTCCTCTGACCGACACGTCCTGAAGCATATCTGCTCCTAATCGTCCTCTGACCGACACGTCCTGAAACATATCTGCTCCTAATCGTCCTCTGACCGACACGTCCTGAAACATATCTGCTCCTAATCGTCCTCTGACCGACACGTCCTGAAGCATATCTGCTCCTAATCGTCCTCTGACCGACACGTCCTGAAACATGACGCAGCATCAGTTCTCCTCTTCCAGCTTCCTCTTTACATTTAAAAACCATCAAAGAAAAGCAGAGAGGTCGTCAGGGCCGAGTCGTGACGCAGCAGCACGGCGATATGCAAAGCCTATTGTGTGTGTGTGTGTGTGTGTGTGTGTGTGTGTGTGTGTGTGTGTGTGTGTGGTTTCTTGTTTCTGGTCGATTTAAACTGTGTGCATTGAGGGAATCAGTCCACAAAGCTACCTGAGGACACACACACAGGTGAGTCACATATCGACCTCTAACGGATCGTTGTGTTTCTGCTGAGTCTCGATGTTTGGAAACTTTGGATTGAGCAACGTGCGTCTGATTCAGAGAGCTGAAGATCAACGTCACTGTAATTCACACACATGGTCGATGCAGATGAAGAGACGGGCTCGATACGTTCTGTTCTTTAATGCAGATAAATGAGTATATATGTTTGGGAACATAACAGCTTGATCAATGATGTGTGAGGATGTTTTCAATGATTACTTTTATTATAAAGACGTTTTCTAAAAAAGACAAAGGTGATGTGGAAGGTTTGTTGTTAGATCTGATAATTAGCAGATAATATTATGGTTTGATAGGATGTTAACACGAGGAAGCTTGCAAAAAAGGAAAAGGAGATGGGGCCCAAAATTGAGCCCTGTGGGATACCATAATCAGTGTCATGACACAAAATCACTTTTTCTACCATAAAAGTGTCGACCAGTTAAATTAAAGGAGAAAAAGAATTTGTGTCTATGCAGCCAAAATGCCAAAAGATTGCCTATTTTTATCTCTTCATTGGTTATTGCAGATGAACAGCAGGTGGAGCAGTTTCACCAGTTTATGCTTTTAAATAGTTCCAGATAAAAATAACGAGAGCTGTTTGTTAAAGAGCTCCAGTCAGAATCTAAAGATGGGAGACATGACAGAAGGACCAGTTTACTTTCACACTGGACGTCTTATGTTTCCTTCTGCAGCGAGGATGAACTCGTCCTCCTACGACAGCTCCCCCTCTCTGAACTCCTCTAAGGGGGATCTCTGGAACCCCTGCCCCTCCTCTCCATTGGGAGTCCAGATCTTCTTCGCCGTGGAGGCGATCAACCTGGTGGTACGTTGGCAGAAAGAGAGACGAGACTCTTTAAAAATCCTCCACAGTTATCTGTCAAAGGTTTTGTTTCCGATGTGTTTGTACAACACATGACAGATTCTAACAGAACACGGTGTAGTGGATCAGGGGGGTCTTTAAAAGCATAAGATGGACATTTTTTACTTGTTTAAAAAATCATCAAAATCTTTCAACTAAGACTAAAAGTTTAAAAGTATCATCTAATGAATTCACGACGAGGTGCTTTTAGCTAGATGCTTTCAGCGTTGTAGAAATCTTTCCAGAAGGTTCATCTCATCCGGCAGAATGTTTTTCTTTCTTCATGCACCACCAGGCAGAATCCTCAGGACTGAACTGGAAGCCACTTCAAATTAGGCTTTTAGTTTAACGTTTAACTCCATGGTTCAAAGTCTCTAAAAGTCGTCTCCTACCTTCTGTGCAGTTCGGCTTGCCAGTGAACGCCTGGACGGTCTGGTACATCGGACACAGCACTCACTCCGTCCAAGCCACTGAGGTAAACAATCCAAGTATCCAATGAAGAATAACGTGGGAACAGTTTGGAAAAATCTCTTTGGTGTAATAACATGTTGATTTAAACGCTCCCTCACGGGAAGAAACAGCTGAGACAGGTGGAGACACTCGGTTGAGTTGAGAAACGTATCATTATATTTCGTATAAAGATGGCGGACTAAAGTAAAAGTCTTTTAAGCAAAGAGGTTTTTGATGGACAGTAAATCACAACAGGAGGATGCTGTAGTCACATTCTGATCTGTTGTAGGTCTTTACTCTAAACCTGGCAGCGCTAGAGTGCGTGTACATTTTGTTGTCGTTCCTGCGACCGCTCAACTATTACTCCATCAGAAGTGCTTCTCTGTTTACCTTCAACCTCTTCTTCTATGGTCTGCTGAGTTCAGGTACATCAGTCCTCTGCTACATTTCCTTACATACTAGCTTCCCCTTGAGTTTGGTGGTATATCTTTTCCATGAGCTGATGATTCCTCGTGTCTCTCCACAGGTCGACCTCTGTTTCAGGCGTGCATGTGTCTGGAGAGATACCTGGGAGTGGTTCACCCTGTGTTCTACCTGAGGTCTCACAAAACAACAGACACACATTCCCTGGCTGTATTCTGACTCTGTTAGAAAGCTCAAAGCATTCGTCCATGTGTCTTTTAGGTATAACACCGTGAGGTCTCGTCTCCGTGCGCTCCCTCTGGTTTGGGCTTTCACTTTGTTCTTCTGTATTTGTAACGTCCAGAAGCTTGTCTTTGCCTTCCCCGTCCTCTTCCTGCTGCTGCTGGTCCTGCAGGTTTTCTGCTGCGCGCGGATGTTGCAGGTCAGTGTGCAGAAACCACATCCCTTCTTGTTTTACTGATACCAACACTAAAATGGATTTCATTTGAGAAGCCTGAGAAGCCTGTCACATGACATTATCATAACTGTTGTTGTTGTTCCCAGGTCCTGCGTCAGCCGGCTCCAGGTGATGGAAGCAAAGAGCGAGTGGATCCAAACAAGAAGAAGGCTTTCGTTACCGTTTTGGTCTTACAGGTAGATCATAAATTACATCTGAAGTTAACAACTACATCAAAGTCTTGACTTCATTCTAGGTCTTTGGAAACTGACTGAAGATGTGTGACGTCGCAGGTCGTGATGGTGTTTAACTACCTGCCCGTGGTGCTGGCGGTGCCACTGCGAGGTCGTCTATCCCGACACATCTACCTGTGTAAACTGGTCCCTGCCTCGCTCTCTTTCTCTGTGTTCGGCAGCTTCATCCAACCAATCACGTACCTGATGAGGAGGCGGATTTAATGAACATAAAACAGAACTCCCATTGATGTCATCATGATGGACAGGAGTGAGATAAAAGACGTAGTAGAAGTTTAATGCCAACAGCTGATTTAGCAGCTGATTTAGAAACCCATCAGCTGATTTAGAAACCCATCAGCTGATTTAGCAGCTTATTTAGAAACCCATCAGCTGATTTAGAAACCCATCAGCTGATTTAGAAACCCATCAGCTGATTTAGAAACCCATCAGCTGATTTAGCAGCTTATTTAGAAACCCATCAGCTGATTTAGCAGCTTATTTAGAAACCCATCAGCTGATTTAGAAACCCATTAGCTGATTTAGAAACCCATTAGCTGATTTAGAAACCCATTAGCTGATTTAGAAACCCAACAGCTGATTTAGAAACCCATCAGCTGATTTAGAAACCCAACAGCTGATTTAGCAGCTGATTTAGAAACCCATCAGCTGATTTAGAAACCCATCAGCTGATTTAGAAACCCATCAGCTGATTTATCAGCTGATTTAGAAACCCATCAGCTGATTTAGAAACCCAACAGCTGATTTAGAAACCCAACAGCTGATTTAGCAGCTGATTTAGAAACCCATCAACTGATTTAGAAACCCATCAGCTGATTCAGAAACCCATCAGCTGATTTAGAAACCCAACAGCTGATTTAGCAGCTGATTTAGAAACCCAACAGCTGATTTAGAAACCCATTAGCTGATTTAGAAACCCATCAGCTGATTTAGAAACCCATCAGCTGATTCAGAAACCCATCAGCTGATTTAGAAACCCAACAGCTGATTTAGCAGCTGATTTAGAAACCCAACAGCTGATTTAGAAACCCATCAGCTGATTTAGAAACCCATCAGCTGATTTAGAAACCCATCAGCTGATTTAGAAACCCATCAGCTGATTTAGAAACCCAACAGCTGATTTAGCAGCTGATTTAGAAACCCATCAGCTGATTTAGAAACCCATCAGCTGATTTAGCAGCTTATTTAGAAACCCATCAGCTGATTTAGAAACCCAACAGCTGATTTAGAAACCCAACAGCTGATTTAGCAGCTGATTTAGAAACCCATCAGCTGATTTAGAAACCCATTAGCTGATTTAGAAACCCATCAGCTGATTCAGAAACCCATCAGCTGATTTAGAAACCCAACAGCTGATTTAGCAGCTGATTTAGAAACCCAACAGCTGATTTAGAAACCCATCAGCTGATTTAGAAACCCATCAGCTGATTCAGAAACCCATCAGCTGATTTAGAAACCCATCAGCTGATTTAGAAACCCAACAGCTGATTTAGCAGCTGATTTAGAAACCCATCAGCTGATTTAGAAACCCATCAGCTGATTTAGAAACCCATCAGCTGATTTAGCAGCCCATCAGCTGATTTAGAAACCCATCAGCTGATTTAGAAACCCATCAGCTGATTTAGCAGCTTATTTAGAAACCCATCAGCTGATTTAGAAACCCAACAGCTGATTTAGAAACCCAACAGCTGATTTAGCAGCTGATTTAGAAACCCATCAACTGATTTAGAAACCCATTAGCTGATTTAGAAACCCATCAGCTGATTCAGAAACCCATCAGCTGATTTAGAAACCCAACAGCTGATTTAGCAGCTGATTTAGAAACCCAACAGCTGATTTAGAAACCCATCAGCTGATTTAGAAACCCATCAGCTGATTCAGAAACCCATCAGCTGATTTAGAAACCCAACAGCTGATTTAGAAACCCATCAGCTGATTTAGAAACCCATCAGCTGATTCAGAAACCCATCAGCTGATTTAGAAACCCAACAGCTGATTTAGAAACCCAACAGCTGATTTAGCAGCTGATTTAGAAACCCATCAGCTGATTTAGAAACCCAACAGCTGATTTAGAAACCCATCAGCTGATTTAGAAACCCATCAGCTGATTTAGAAACCCATCAGCTGATTTAGAAACCCAACAGCTGATTTAGAAACCCATCAGCTGATTTAGAAACCCATCAGCTGATTTAGAAACCCAACAGCTGATTTAGAAACCCATCAGCTGATTTAGAAACCCATCAGCTGATTTAGCAGCTGATTTAGAAACCCATCAGCTGATTTAGAAACCCATCAGCTGATTTAGCAGCTGATTTAGAAACCCATCAGCTGATTTAGCAGCTGATTTAGAAACCCATCAGCTGATTTAGCAGCTGATTTAGAAACCCATCAGCTGATTTAGAAACCCAACAGCTGATGGGACAAATGACCTCAGGTATCTGTTACCAAATGACCTAAGGTATCTGACCCTCCTTCCATAAGTGAACCTCCTCCCAGTCTGCAGAAGTCTGCATGCAGGGGGGGCTGAGTATCTTCCAGGACGGCCTCTGCCTTCTGATTGGCTCTTATTAGGAAAAACACGGCCGGATGTCAGGACATGGTGAAGAAATGGTTAACTGGCTCTTTGACAATGAAAAATGGATTTCGACTACATCATTAGTGGTTTGGCATCATGCAGGACATCTGACACATCGGACTAGCTGGACACGACAACACATACCAGATACACACAAGGTGGGTCATTTCTCTGATATATTGAATTAAAAACTATGTTTAATTTGGGTTTATTTATTTTGACTTTGATATAACTCTGGATGTGAGTGTAAAGTGTAAAATCGACTCTCTGACAGTCAACCACTAAGGGTCCCTTTTGTGTTAAAATAAAACAATAAAACTGAAATTTTAGGGTCACAATTATAGTCCAGGTCAAACCAGGGTTCATTGTCAATGTGACTCTGAATAAGAACGTGATTCGCTAAATGACCATCAGAATAAAACTATAACTCATTCAATGTCTATCGTGCTTACTAATGGAGGCAGAGGTCTCAAAGGTTTCAATACGCCCAGCAGACGTTTTAAATGAATCCTGTTTTTATTAAGGGTTGTTTGAAAGGCTGAGCTGGAGAGTTTCTGGAGGTCGGATTTGGTTATCTCATAAAGGTTTGCTAATTTCTTCTTCTGCTTCAAGTGTTTTATAGCTATTAAACTACAGCTTTACGCCTGATGGACAGAGAGGGCCGAGTTATTTAGTCATCTTTTAACTCGCTGCAAAAAGACTTCTAAAAAATTAACCCATAATGTCCAATGGTTTTTAGTAAGGCTTCCTCTTCCGATGTTAATTTAATTTGATGTGTGCCAAAAGGCTGCATTTCAGGGGCCATACATGATGTCTCCTGGTGGGTTTAATAAATATTTCATCATGTTACGCAGACGACACAGATTTCCAAAGCATTTCTACTCGGTCTCAAACTGAGCAGACTCTGGATTTTAAATAAAGACCGGTCAAGACCACCACCGATGGGCTATTTTTCCACATCATTACTGCATATTAGAAGGAAAACTCCTCTTTTTAAAAGAACAAATAACTTAGATTTTAATTAGATTTTTATTTCCCGGTTACGTCCACAACCTTCCCAGTGTTACGGTCTAAGTGAGTTACACACAAGATGATAAGTTTCCAACGATGGAGGAAACAGAGCTCCTTAACCACGGAAAAAATGAGCCACTATGATGTTTTCAACTACTACTTGATCACCATGGAGATATTTGGTGTTTTAGGATTGAAGTTCCTCTATTTTGGCTTTTACACAAACACTCCAAAGATGATTATGGTTGGTTATTGTTTTGTGACCTTCGGTTTCCCTGCACAAACATTGTTTCATTGCCTGACTTGTGTGGAGCGTTACCTCGCTGTTTGTCACCCCATCACGTACAGAGCTCTGGGAAAAGCCAGTGGGGTGAAAGCCCGAAACATCAGCATTGCTTGTACCTTGCTGCTGTGCATTGGATTAATGGGTTATACCGCTTTGTACTACCCTGATATCCCCACCGCTTTTTCTTTTGTATGTTTTGCCTTCGCCGTGATAGTTGTCTCATTCTGCAGCCTCTCTGTTCTGCATGCTCTGGTTCGCCTCGGCCTGGGGAAGGTGGGTGGGGGGAGGGAGCAGACTACAAACTACAAGCAGACTACAAACTATTGTTGTACCCGCAACTTAAACAAGAATGAAACCTAGAGAGAACTATAGAACAATACATACATGTACATTAGTACATTATTACTCCAAGGGAAAAGGTTGGGAACCACTGTCTTAGTTTAGATGGTTTAACAGTGCTCTAGATGGTTTCCTGTGAAGTCCATTTGAGACCTTTGTGATTGGTTTACAAACTATCTGGGTGGTTCTGACATGATATCACTAAATGTTTAGATACACGTAACTTTACTTCACAATCAATATCATGGCAGCATTGGTTTTAAATCTTTTCTTCTTTTTAAATATTTATTTTGGGACTTTAGGTAAGAGAGTGGGCAGAGAGAGAGGGTAAGACATGCTGAGCTGAGACTCCGGGTGGCCCGCTTCAAGGACTCGGTACATGGGACACGTTAAGTTACTGCTTGGCAACAGGCAAAGTTATTTCTAACTTGTTTTATACATTTTGGAGTTTAATGTGAATAGATACTCACTGGCTATTATTTGTACTGATATTTGCTTGTCAAAGCACTTTTAAAACCATTGCTTTAAAAAGTGCTTATAAATAAAGTTATGATTATTATGAATATAAGCATTAAGTGAAACATGCTTAAATAAAAAGCATAGTTTCATTGTGTTGGTTTTAGGTGGTTGGAGGTTTGTTTACTGGGCTTTTTTAGGCATTCTGTTTAATAATTAGGGCAGGACTGAGTAGGTCCCCTATGCTGTGTGGACACATCTGTGTCTCCTGGATGTGGACTTCTGGCTGATGTCTTTGCTAATATATAGGTTGACAGTAACTTCTTACTACTTCTAGGAGACACGTTGTACCTCCTTGGATCAACATTTCCTCTCAGATAAATGAGGACCTCTTTCCTAAAACTCTTGGTAAGCATCACCGTGAGCAGCATCGTGGAACTCTGGTTTGACAATGATGTCAACATTTGCATGGAAAGACCATTTTTCTGTTCGCCATTGGAACACATGTCAGATTTGCCAGGTGTTCATTGTTGGTTT